CACGGAGCTGAGTCTCAAAGCGCTATCGGAAAGACTTGAAATCGGAAAGAAATACATTTGTTACATTTTAATCCCATTGAAAGGAAGATGAAAATATCGTTTGTATTTTTTAAAATTATTATACTTGCGCAACGTAATTATTAACGGAATGGAGTAAGAGGAGACCATGTTTGGACAGTTAAAAACAGATGTTTTATTTCAGAATGTCTTTCTGAAATGTCTGTTTCTGTGTTGTAAGAACGTTAAAGCATGGACGGGCCTTATCTGCATTTACCTTGTTGAATCTTTTTTTCCATAAAATGTACATGTATTATTGCATGTACCCTGACAATATGATTGCTACGTTACGTTTTCTTGTAGTTTTTGGTCTCATAAAGAATACAAAAGACGTTGGTATTATAGTCTGTAAAGACCAAGATGAAAGATGTAAACTGAATTTTACGCCTATTTTAGATAAATCTAAAAAAGATTTCAGTCTTGGTTAATGAGGGACCTATCACTGGCAGGTCGGGTTCTACTGTCGAAAGCAGAGGGTATATCTCGCTTTGTGTACGCCTCGCTTTCACTGAATGTGACTTCGCATCTTATTGATGAGTTTGACAAACTTATACAACTTTATTTGGAAGAATAAACCTCATTATATTAGGAAACACCTTCTGAGTAAACCAAAAAACCAAGGTGGCTTGAATGTTATAGACTTTTATGTCAAATATAACTTTCAAAATAAATTGGATTAGGAAATGTATTAATAATAAAAATAGTATTTGGAATTTTATTCCAAACATAATTTTTCAGAATGTTGGGAATCTTGACTTTTTGTTAAAATGTAACTTTGAGATAAAGAAAATCCCAATTAAGTTATCTAATTTTCATAAGCAAGTTCTATTATACTGGACTTTATTATACAAACACAACTTCTCACCACACACATATTATATTTGGAATAATAAAGACATTAAGTTTAAAAATAAAAGTTTATTTTTACATAGTTGGTTTAATAACAAAATTTATTTAGTGGCTCAACTGTTGAATGAAGATGGTAGATTGCTTACTTATCCTGAATTCCTGGAGAGATTTCAGTT